TTATGCCGTTGAGGAAGCTTGGGCCTTGTTTAGATTGAAGATAATTTCAACCCGATGAATAGTAGCATTTTCGTCTTATTTGGTAAATATTGTTCAATCGTAGACCAACTAAGTTCAAAAGATTCATCTCGTGATTTCCAACTAAACTGTGCAATTAGTTATTTTTTTTACCTACATTTAATACTCTATGCAAGCGGCTAAAAATTGATGTAATAGAGAGAGTGAAAAAACTTAGAATTTTGGAGTGATCTAAACAAGGCCTTGGTACTGGTACTGCCATTACTATCCGATGACTAGCGGTCGTGCTCCAAAACTGTGTCTACGATCCATGGATGGGGACCGGTGGCCTCCCGTGTCTCTCCACATGGGCAGTCAGCTCCGCCTGTCGGTGACTCCAAGGAAACAGGGAGGAAAGAGAGCGTGCGCCGTGGTCTCCGAATTTTCTTGTAGCACGGGCGCGTGGGACGGAGTGGTGGGGTCTACTGCTTGGATAAGGGCGCCGGCTTTTCCAATACCAGGGGCGCGCTGGTGTTTTTTCATGACAAAGAGGGGCGCGGAATACGCCCACGTGCGTGCAGAAAGTGTGTGCAAGGCACCACTGTGGAATCACGGGCTGTTTTCCCATACATCCCCTCCTTGTACTCTTCACGAACCACAGTTTCTACTTGCTGAATACCATCCGTCGTTGGTCATGCAAAAGGCACCCGGGCTGGCTCGTCTCGTCACCGCCTTGCTCTGGCGGGTTCTTGGCTGGGCGTGGGTGGCTCCCACGTCAGTGTTCGGCCCTGATTTGGCATTTGAATGGGCCTTTGCTTATTTTCTTTGCGCAAGATCTGCTTTATGCTTTCTCTGATTCCGCATTTTGACTCTAATTCTATTGTATCCAAGTATGAGTGCTGCAAAATAGAAATCTTGCAATACAAGTGGAACTATATCAATAGTAAAGGCATATACGGTACCGGTGTTTTTCATGACCAAAGAGGGACTTGAATACGCCTCCCCACGTGCACGCAGAAGTGTGTGCGCCTTTGTGGAGTCTGGCTGTTTTCCCATACATCCCCTCCTTGTACTCTTCACAACTAACTGATTTCTACTTGTTTGAATACCATCCGTCGTTGGTCATGCAAAAGGCACCCGGGCTGGCTCGTCTCGTCACCGCCTTGCTCTGGCGGGTTCTTGGCTAGGCGTGGGTGGCTCCCACGTCGGTGTTCGGCCCTGGTTTGGCATTTGAATGGGCCTTTGCTTATTTTCTTTGCGCAAGATCTGCTTTATGCTTTATCTGATTCCGCATTTTGACTCTAATTCTATTGTATCCAAGTATGAGTGCTGCAAAATAGAAATCTTGCAATACAAGTGGAACTATATCAATAGTAAAGGCATATACCGGTACCGGGGTTTTTTCATGACCAAAGAGGGACGCGAATACGCCTCCCACGTGCACGCAGAAAGTGTGTGCGCCTTTGTGAGAGTCACAGGTCGTTTTCCCATACATCCCTCCTTGTACTCTTCACGAACTACTGATTTCTACTTCTTTGAATACCATCCGTCGTTGGTCATGCAAAAGGCACCGGGCTAGCTTCGTCTCGTCACCGCCTTGCTCTGGCGGGTTCTTGGCTGGGCGTGGGTGGCTCCCACGTCGGTGTTCGGCCCTGGTTTGGCATTTGAATGGGCCTTTGCTTATTTTCTTTGCGCAAGATCTGCTTTATGCTTTCTCTGATTCCGCATTTTGACTCTAATTCTATTGTATCCAAGTATGAGTGCTGCAAAATAGAAATCTTGCAATATAAGTGGAACTATATCAATAGTAAAGGCATATCAGGGGCGTGCTGGTGTTTTTTCATGACCAAAGAGGGGCGCGGAATACGCCTCCCACGTGCACGCAGAAAGTGTGTGCGCACTGTGGAGTCATGGGCTGCTTTCCCGTACATTCCCTCCTTGTACTCTTCACGAACCACAATTTCACCTTGCTGAATACCATCCGTCGTTGGTCATGCAAAAGGCAGACGACGAAACCATCCATCGTTGGCATAAAGATGCTCTCATGCTCGTCCGTTTTTCCGAGACGAGCAGACCTGGAAAAGTCTGGCAGACGACAGACCTTTTACTCAATAAACGTCGCTGGGAGTGGAGGGTTTACCAAAACAAGTTCCTGGACTAGGCAAATATTTTTAAACTTAATTAAATATATATAAAAAATGTTAATATTAATAGTACATAAAATATCATTAGAAGACCGATGAATTATTTCGTAGTAATTTATTTAGATGCTTGGGAGGAACCTCCGGTTCCTTCTAGCAGGTTTATTTCCAGCCGTTGATCATTAACAAAAGATAATTATTGTAGTTAGGCGTACTTTAGTACATTTGCCCAGCTCACCATTAATTAACTCTAACTCTAATTTAGGCTCCGTTCGCTTGAGTTTATCCGTTAAAAAATAGTGTTTTTCTCTCAAAAAAAATTAGCCATACAAATCAGTTGGAGCTAAAATAAGTGCTGCCGAACATGCCCTTAGACCGATCAGACGCTATGCTAGTTCTGCCGCTGCATCGCCGTAGCTTGATTGCCGAGGGCTCTGTTGCCTGCCTGCCCAAGCCCACCTGGGTAGCCGTCGTGCAGGTGGTAGGTTGTGCGCTTGTGTGCAGTTGTCGTTCTCCGCTTGATTGAAACCATGGGGCGACGGCTCCCTCCAAAACCTCCTCCCTACGATGCCTCTTGGGGCGTTGGGCTCGTCCTCGACAGAGGCGGCAGCTGGGGACCAGGATCGAGGTCGAGGTGATGGGAACATCAGCATCAGAAGTGCTAGAATTGAGGCCTTATTTATTTTCTCCCTAAACTTTATACCTTATCACATCGAATGTTTGAACACATATATAAAATATTAAATATAGACTAAAAAATAACGAATTATACAGTTTACGACTGATTTGCGAGACGAATCTTTTAAGCCTAATTAGTCCATGATTTGACAATAAATGCTACAGTACACACATGTGCTAACGATGGATTAATTAGGCTTAATAAATTCGTCTCGCGGTTTACTGACGGATTCTGTAATTTGTTTTTATATTAGCATCTGAACACCTCATGCGATACCCTCATATGACACCCTAAAACTTTACACCCTGTAACTAAACAAGACCTTAGTTTGGTTTATGGCCACCAGCGTTGACCTGTGCCTGTCAACACGGGTTAACACGGGTTCATCAAGAACAAACATAGATAATAGGTTTTTTATTAGGACTCTAAACATTGTGACTTCAAAGATTGGCTTCACAAAATTGGTACTTATATCGTTGACACCCTAAATGTTACCAGGAGTCTGACAACATCGAATTTACAAATTTTGGATAGCTCTATAAATATATATTGAATTTATAAGTTTACACCATTCATAGCATTTAGGGACCAAGATAACATAAACTTAACAAGTTTGAGAACATGAATCGGTGATTTACGAGTTTAGGGACCAGGATAACACAACCGAACAAGTTTGAGGACCTAAACGAGCGATAAGTTTAGAGACCGAGATGATACAACTAAACAAGTTTGAGGACCTAAACGGTCGATTTACAACTTTAGGGATCATGATAACATAGTCGAATAAGTTTGAAGACCGCTAGTGGACTTTACTCTAAAGTATTTTATGTTTGTTCAAGCTGACAGAGAAGACATGTATGACGACAAAAATATTTACTATGAAAATATATTTTATAATAAATTTATTATAAATAATTATTTTTATCAATTTAGCTAAAGTTAAAATTGTTTCATTGGGTAAAATAAGAATGGCATTTTTAGGCGGATATGCAGTATATATATTTATTTGAGTAAAGTGCACCAATGGTCCCTAAACTTGTACCGGTGTGTCATCCCGGTCTTTAAACTCGTAAATCGACCGTTTAGGTCCTCAAACTTGTTCATCTGTGTCATCTCGATCCCTAAACTTGTTCGGCTGTGTCATCCTGGTCCCTGAACTTGCAAATCACCCGTTTAGGTCCTCAAACTTGTTCAGTTGTGTCATCCGGTCCCTAAACTTGATTTTGAGTCTCATCTGGGTCAAAACAGGGTGATTTACAAACTTTATATCAAAAAATAATTCATACCTTTTTCATATGAACTCGAATGAAGACAAACTTTATATCAAAATTGTAGCCCTCGATGCGATCTACGACTTTGTAGTTGAAAAGTTTTTGAATTAAAACTATTTAGGGTCCTAAAATATTATTGTATGTTTATAGATTTCAAAATTTGAAATTTAAAATTAAATTTTGGGACACTAAATGACTTCAAACAAAAAACTTTTCAACTACAAAGTTGTAGATGGTATTGAGAACTATAACTTTTATATAGACCATATCAATATCCACGATTGTTTAATAATTTTAAATTTTAAATTTTAAAATTTATAAACATATAATAATATTTTGGGACCCTAAACAGTTTTAATTCAAAAACTTTTGAACTACAAAGTCGTAGATCGCGTCGAGGGCTACAATTTTGATATAAAGTTTGTCTTCATTCGAGTTCATATGAAAAAATTATGAATTATTTTTTTGATATAAAGTTTTTAAATCACTCTGTTTTGACCCAAATGAGACTCAAAATCAAGTTTAGGCACCGAGATAACACAACTGAACAAGTTCGAGAACCTAAACGGGTGATTTGCAAGTTTAGAGACCGAAATGACACAACCGAACAAGTTTAGGGACCAAAATGATACAGATGAACAAGTTTGAGGATCTAAACAATCGATTTGCGAGTTTAGAAAGCGGCATACCATAGCAGTATAAATTTAAGGGCTAGTGCACTTTACTCTATTTATTTTATTATTACTCTTTCCGTCCGAGCCTAACCATTCTCTATATACCCCTCTCCCCTCCCCTCCCCTCCCCTCCCCCCTCCTCCGCCCCTGCTCTCAGATCTGCACGGCAACCCAACAAGATGTGGAGTGAGTCACTAGCTAGGCCTCCTCTAGATGCTTAGGTTTCTTCCATGTAGACATGGTGGCTCAGATGATGAGTTCATCGCTGGGAGCCATGGGGCCCCTTCTTTCGAACCTGCAGACTCTGATGGTCTCTCCCGAGCATCAGCTGCCAAATCCACTGATGGAAGAGATCGAGCTTCTGAAGCAAGATTTGGAAACAATCAACACCTGCCTCATCAATCTTTCCAGGTCAGAATCTCCCAACAGGATGGCTATGCACTGGATGAATGAGGTGCGCGACCTTTCCTATGACATGCAGGATTATATCGACAGCATGATGCACCCCAACAAGATGTCTGATTACCAGATGAATCAGAACATCTTATCTGTAGTCAAGAAATTCAGGAGTCTTGTGAAGCAGGCCAGTGAACGCCATGAGAGTTACGAGCTATGGCGTTGGGCATCAAATCCTAGCTACAGTATGGTCAGCAATGGCCAAGACCCCGTTTTAACACTTAACGGGAAGGCCAAACAACTTGTTGGTATAGGTGAATCAACGGATAAACTTATCAAGTTGTTAAATACAGACAGCAACGATGCTGGTGCTCAGGGACATCTGAAAGTAGTATCCATTCTTGGACCTGCTGGTGTTGGTAAGAGCACGCTTGCCAAAGAAGTATACCGAGAAATTGGAGCACGGTTCGAATGTCTAGCCTTTGTGCGGGTGTCAAGGATGCCTGATACAAGGAGGCTACTCCGGAGCATCATCTCTCAAGTCCAGTGCCATCAGCGTCCTCTGTATGGTCGCAGCGTGCAAGTCCTCATTGCCAACCTCAGAGAACATCTTCAACAGAAGAGGTATATACATGTTAATAATCTTGTGTTGCCTCCTGTTTCTTTAATTTCAGATACTCGTAGTACATATTCATAGTCGAATACTGGTACCATGCAGTTCCTTTGCTTGTGGGCCACGAAATCAAAAGTAGAATTTCAAGTTCGAATTCATTCTTTTTCCTAAAATTTCTGATCCATTCTATGAATGGATAGAACGAGAAATTTTGAAATCGATGCTGGATGTTACTAAATGTTTTTCCTAGAACAAAACATATTGGAAAATAGGGATGTGTCTTCCAATATTTTCTTAGAAGGAACTCACTGCCCATGGGCCATGGTGCTACCAACTCCCCATAAGAGGATTTCTAAAACTTAGTCAACAAGCGGCGGAGATAGGACCGGTGTTGCTGGCCTGACAGAAAAGCCATTTATAAGATGCTGCTTTTTGACCTAACTACATCTTATACTTAGATTCATACACTATGTTTAATCATGGTCGTGATGCTAGTACCCTGTCAGGGTAGTTAGCACCTCTTTTCTATCAGTTCAGGCCCTGCCCCTGTAGACAACTATATTCAAGCTGGAGAGGACTCAAACCTAGGTGATTAAAATGTATACACGCATCACACACACACTGAGTAACGTTAGATGAATTAGATGTTACTATTATTGATGGTAAACTTAGCATTTTTTTTTCTTCTAACCAGTTATAAGTTTAGAATTGAAATTTTTAAAGAACGATATAACCCAATGGATCTGCAGGGACTTATGAACCCAATGGGGTACACTAGCTTCGGAGCTTAGAACATCCTGTGCGTGAAAACTTTTGGCAGATCATAAACAAATGAAAAATACAGAACATTTCTATGCCTAATATTTCATAAATCAAACACCGTTGTGATGTTTCCATGGTTTCTATATATTTCTTCTAGCCTACACAACAATACAACATAATTCCTATCTTTGGACTGGCAGGTATTTCATTGTAATTGATGATTTATGGGAAAGAACATCTTGGAATATTGTGAAGAGTGCTTTTCCAGAGGATACTAATTGTAGTAGAATATTAATAACGACTGGTATTGAGAAAGTTGCTCTGGAGTGCTGCAAGTCCATAAGAGTTTTATCAAGTCAGGCAACCGAATCTGAGATATATTCCAACAACCATGTGAGAGCCCAAGTAGGTATTTATAAGGTGGAGCCACTGAGCACAGAAGACTCCACAGAGTTGTTCTTCAATGAAGTGTTTGGCTCGAACCATGAACACTCTAACAGTTCCAAGGAATATTCAGATGAAATTATAAAAATGTGTGGTGGCCTGCCACTATCAATCATTATGGTAGCTAATATTTTTGCAAGTCAACCAGATAATGCAGAGCTATGGCATCATGTGAAGAAATATTTAAAAACCAGCTTGGAAAATAATTTTTCTACAGAAAACATGATGAGAGAAATAGTAATCCTGAGCTATAATAATCTTTCACATCATCTGAAGACATGCCTACTACATCTTAACATGTATCCTGAGGGTTGTACATTCATGAAGGCCGATTTGGTGAAGCAATGGTGGGCCGAAGGTTTTGTCAGTGCAATAGCAGGCAAAGATATCAATGAAGTTGCAGAGTGTTATTTTGATGAGCTTGTCGGCAGAGGACTTATACAGCCTAACCATGTCAGTTTCTCAGATGAAGTGATCTTCTATACAGTGCACTCTACTGTTTTTGAAATTATTAGGAACAAGTCCATAGAGGAGAATTTCATCACTGTAGTAGACTACTCTGAAACCATTACAAAACTTTCTGCAAAGGTTCGTCGACTATATCTCAGCTTCAGTAATGCCAAATATGCAACCAAACCAAAAGACATCACACTGTCAACAGTTAGATCACTCACATTTTATGGACCTGTTCAGTGTCTGCCTTCTATTAGAGAATTCAAGTTACTTCGAGTTCTGATCCTTGAATTTTTGGTTGATAGAAAAGACATAGATCTTAGTGGAATCTACAGATTATTTCAGCTGAGATATGTCCGGATTACAACTGATGATGATAACATTGTATATCTGCCGCCGTCGATGAAAGGATTAAAATATTTAGAGACGCTGGAAGTATATGCACGTGTAAAGTCGATTCCATCCGATATTGTTCATCTCCCAAAATTGTTGCACCTGCGTCTTCAAGGTGAGATAAAACCTCCTGCATCTGTTGTCCATATGAAATCTGTACGCACACTTCAGTCTTTTGACCTCAGCAGTAATTCTGAAGATAATATACGGCAGTTGGGTGAGATGATGGACCTGCAAGATCTTCATCTCACCTGTTCCACAGAAACATCTGACCTTCTAGAGAAAAACCTGATAGCTCTGGCTTCATCCCTTGGGAAACATGGCCAACTAAAATCTCTGGTTCTGGAACCTGGTGCTTTGCGCACAAGCATTTGCTTGGATTGCTCAAGCCGTGTGTCTTCTCCACCCGTTTCCCTTCAGAGACTTGAATTGTTGCCACCCCTTTGCATCTTTTCAAGACTTCCTGAATGGATTGGACAACTTCGAAAGCTATGCATTCTGAGAATTGTTGTTATGGAATTGACAAGGGATGATGTAAACAGAATCTCTGGACTGCCAGAACTCACTGTTCTCTCGTTGTATGTCATTCAACCAATTGCAGAGAGCATTATCTTCAGCCGTGCAGAATTTCCAGTTCTGAAGCATTTCAAGTTAAGATGTGGCATTCTGCGCCTTGAATTTCAGGCAGAAACGATGCCAAAGCTTCGGAGCCTCAATCTTGCATTCAATGCCCACAGTGGAGAGCAGTACGGGGATATGATTGCTGGCATCGAGAACTTATTAGACCTCCAAGGGATCATTGTACAAATTGGGACAGCCCCAGATGCAGAGGAATCAGACAGGATGGCTGCAGAATCTGTATTTAAAGATGCCATCAGCAGGCATTCAAAACCTCCGAGCTTCAGCATACGAAGGGCTGATCCAGTTGAGGAAGAGTATGTGCCTTTCTTTTCATTAAATCCTCTTTGAAATCTTCATTTCTACTCACTACAAGCTGCTTCCATTGTTACCTTTTAAGATAGTGTAATAGGATGGCAAGAGAAGTAGGACTGATTGTGACCTAGCCGCGCATTGGGCGCCTCCACGCCGGTGACCACGCGGTTGAAAGGTCCTATATGGCTAGAAGGGGGTTGAATAGCCTAATAAAATTTCTACAAGGCACTAGAGCAATTTAATTAGTATGACAGAAGGCGTTAGCAAGTTTTGCTCTAGCTCTACTAAGTGTTGCAAGCCATCTATCCAATCAATTTAGTGAATTATGATCACTATGGCACACAATTGGCTAAGTTGCTAATCCTAATCTAGTGAGCTAGCTAGCAACTAAAACAAGTGACAAAACTAGCTACTCAACTAATTCCTACGAAAAGCAACTAGCTACTCAAACTATCACTACACAAGATATAGCTATGAATGTACTACAAGTGGTAGAAAAGTATACCGATCGTGGCAAGAGACAATCAATGAATACCAAATGAAATCCACGGAGACAAGTGACATAAGATTTTTCTTCCGAGGTTCACTTGCTTGCCGGCAAGTTATATTCCCGTTGTGTTGACCGTTCACTTGGTGGTTCGTGAGCTAATAGGCGTCACAAACCTAGACTTATACAAAGGCGCCGCAAGAACCTACACAAATAAGAGTACTCACCGACACGAGCAATTTACTAGAGTGGCTTTTGGCGCTCCGTTAGGGAATAAGCCCAAAACCCCTCACAATCGATGCCGGGTGTGGCCACAAACAATCACCAACTCGTGTCAACACTCCTCTGCTGCTCCAAGCCGTCTAAGTGGTGGCGATCACCAAGAGTAACAAGAAAATCGCAGCAAAACAATCTTCAAATGCCACTAGATGCAATCATTCAAGCAAATGCACTTTGGATCACTGCCAACTCACTTGGATGCACAATCAAGCAAGAGATTGAGTGAGGTTTGGCTTAGCTCACAAGGATGTATCAATGATAAAAATGTCCAAGAGATTGAGCTACAGCCGGCCAAATTCTATTTATAGAGCCCCAAGCTCAACTAGCCATTACCCTCCACGAGGGCGTCTGGACCCTGCTCCGGACCCATACTCCCAAGGGGTCCGGACCAATGGCTCCTGGTCCGGTTCCTCTCCTCGTCCAATCAAGCACCACCATGTGTCCCAAACTTCAAATTCAACCGTTGCCGCGTGCAACGGTCACCTGCCACCGTCCGGACCGGACTCAACAGTCCCTAGTCCGGACCAATCTCCACACGCGTTTGGAGTTACACACAGCAGTCCGGACCCACCGTCCAGATCATGCGCCACCGAGTCCGGACAGTTTTGGCTCCTCTCTGTCTGGTGAAATAATTCTTCGGACCGAGACATGGTCCGAACCATCAATCGGACTGAGTCCGGAGCCAGCATTAGCACCTCTCCTCACGCCATGTGGCCGGGGGTTCCAGCCGGACCGAGCCACCATGGTTCGGATGCCCCGCGCCACCAAGGTCCGGAGCCAGTGCCTCAACACTGATCACCTAGGGTAAGGTTCTGGACCCATCACTGATGGTCCGGACCACCTTTGCCCTAGGGTCCGAAGCCTCTATCTCCTCCTTTTCCAACTTCTTTCTCCAACCCTTGTGCATGTGTGCCAACTCCAAGTATTTCAACACATGTGTACGTGAGTTAGCAACATTTTCAAAGTATTTTCAAGGGTTTCATGTTAGCACACTAGGTCCTAATGCATATGCATGAACAATGTCACTTAGTGGCACTTAACCGCTTTAACCATGATTTTTCCCTCTTCATAGTACGACTATCTATCCTAAACCCAATCACACCCTCTAAGTTATCTTGATTGGCAAAAACAAAATTCCTATTTATACCTTTGTCTTGATCTACATAGGGTTTTGTTTTTCTCTTTCTTCTTTTCCAAGTTGGAGCACTTGTTCATCATCTTTTGGCCACCTCCATCACCATGGATGCTATCTTGCTCCACCACTTGTACTTGGACCACTCTAACTCATCTATACACTTAGGCCAAGAGTTAATCCAGTAGGTTTCATCAATTAGCCAAAACCAAACTAGGGCTTTCAGCGGTCCCGCGTGTTCACCTCCCCGGCGTCGTCGGTCCTTTGCCATGCCGCTCTCTGCCACCTCTCCTCCCACCTTTTCTTGCACTTTCTCCACCAGATCTGTTGCGGCATGGAGCCTAGATCCACTTCTCGGTGGCCATGGCTTGGGTCGTCGCCCTCCCTGCCATCGCGCCTCGTGGCGACAGCTGTGGAGATCTTGGCTACTCATCAGGCCTTCATCGTTTCATCGCTGGGCCTCAACCCCAATGCGGCTCCTTTCCTCGGGTCCCCGCACTCGATGCGCTCTTGCCACAGTCTGGGAGGGTGGTTGTGCTTCAGTGACTAGGAAGCCTCCTTTGGGGAGCCGGATCTACGTACCCTGGGGGTTGAGGTCAAGGGCAAGGCCGTCGCGGCAGACCAGGGCACCGTAGGCACTGTTGACACCGCCACCTTACCGTCACCGGGACGTGCTTGGTGGAGCAGCGAGCGATGCCACTCTTGCGCCGTCTCTATAGTTTTCTAGGCCGCGTGGGCTTTCACTTGTCACCAACCCTACTCGGATGTCCTCTGCACTAGACGAGGACGTCTTTCGGCAGGTTCAGAACCGTCGCCGCTGGCGACGCAGGGCGCTCCGTTGCGCGACGCAGCCGGTTCTATCCAACCTTGTTTGCCTCTTCTTCAACAGCCTAGCTGACGACCATGTGAAGGCAGATTGTGTGTTGGGGCGCGCTGCCTCACGAACTGCGCCTGGGCAGCAATTCCCGGTGGCAAGAGAGAGTGGTCTCCTGCGTGTCCAGCTGGGCGCCGTCACAGAGCACCACGCGCAGCGATTCTTGGAGGCAAAAGAGAGTTGTCTCCTGCGTACGTGTCCGGCTGGGTGCCGTCGTGGAGCACCTAGGCACCTATCTTCCACCATGTGGGACCAGGCCTCTGCTAGGAACACGGATCGACGCACTCGGCTTCCATAGGCCGTCGCCCCTCGGTTCCCTAATGTTGCATGCCCCCGAGCCCTGACCTCGCTCCCTCTTCGCCTCCCCCGATTGGTGACGTTGCTGCGTAGCCACGGGTGGAACTCATGGTGATTCCCCATTCGTCGGAGCTTGTCACTGTGGATGAAGAGATGTCGCTTGCTCTGGTCGCTCTCATTGGGGGGAATAGACTAGACGTTGCAACTAACGATTTTCCCTCTTTATAATACGACTATATATCCTAAATCCAACCATGCACTCGCCTTGGTTGGCAAAAAGCAAAGCCCTATCTTATACTTTTGCCTTATGGCTTGCTTTTGCTCCATCTTCTCTCCATTAACACTTGCATACATGCGATCATGATCTACATATCCATCACTTCCTATGCCTTGTCCATCACATCAAGTGGACCCTAGATTAAACATACTCAATGAAAGCATTAGTCCACATGGTTAGCACTCAATTACCAAAACCAAACTAGGAATTTCACAAGTGCCTATCCTCCGACTGCTCCGACCACGTTCTGCTACTCCTTTAGCTAAACATTGAGACTTGGTCCAAGCCACGACTCAGGTCTGAGGCCATCTGGAAATGCTTCGACGGTTTCATCGATGTTTTCCGCCAAGCATGGGCGTGCCCCCTACAAAATGTCGATGCCTCCCAGGTTCTTGACTTCAAGCTTAGGAACATGGCAAAGGCTCTTAGGAGCTGGTGCATGAAGTGTGTCAGCAATGTGCGCGAGCTAATTGCGTAGCTCAACACGGCACATGACGTCAGGGATCTCACTAGCCCCGAACTCGACTTGCGTAGAGAGTTGAAGCTTTGAAAGCCTAGGGCTGGCGTCGCTGGCAAGAACCGTGGCACGCCAGCGCTCTCGCATTAGGGCCCTCGAGAAAGGTGATGCCAACGTGAAATTCTTCCACTTACAAGCGTGTCATTGTAACTGTAAGAACTTCATTTGCCATTGAGCACAATGGACAAGGGTTCTCGGTGGACGAGATGAAATCAGAGCTCATCTTCTTGTACTACAACGATCTCCTTGGCAAGCAATTCAATCAGTTGTATTGGTTTGATCTGGAGGCCCTGGGTCTCTCGTGGTTGGGCCTACGCTCTCTGATTGTTGTTTCTCGGAAGACAAAATCTTGTTGCAATTCATGAGCTTCCTGGGGACCGGACGAAGATGAAATCGTGTGGCCTGGGATGTCATCAAGGCCAATGTCATGAACGCGTTCAACGCATTGTGGCCCCTGGACGCACGGACCTTCTTTCTACTCAACGATGTGCTGGTCATGTTGCCTACCCATCTCAAGGACTACCGGCCCATCAGCCTCATGCATAGTTTCAGTAAGCTATTTGCCAAGTGTCTAGCCCGTCGCCTGGCCCCAAGGCTGAAAGAGGTTGTCAAGGGCAACCAGAGCACGTTCATTCATGACAATTTCCAAGCCGTGCACCTGGCATACCGGTGGCTGCATTGCAGGAGGGTGCGCCCAGTGTTCTCCTCAAAGTCGACATTGCTGAGGCCTTCGACTAGGCAGCCTAGTCATTCCTTCTTGAGGTTATGTAGCACAAAGGTCAACTGCAACCACAAAGGTCTTGGTTAATGGCTGGCCCGTTAGGAGAATCTCACACGCCGCGGTCTTCGCTAGGGTGATCCCATCTCTTCGATGCTCTTCGTCGTCGCGATGGAAGTACTTAACTCAATGATCATTGAAGCTGATGGCATCTGTTCACGCCGCTGCCTGGTTATGTGATTCGCCACAGAGACTCTCGTCGTCTTCCTCAGTCCATCGCAGAGAGATCTAACATGCTTACGTGAGCTGCTATAGTCATTTGCTGGAGCCTCTAGGCTCATCACGAATGTCGACAAATGCCAAGCTTCGCCGATACTCTGCTCAACTGAGGAGACCACAGCTAACCAGGCTGCTTTCCCCTATCAGATCACACTTTTCCCATGCAAGTACCTGGGCGTTCCACTCTCCATTCAAAGTCTTAGGCACTGCGATGAGCAGCTCCTCATCGATGCTAGGATACCGACATGGAAGTCAGGGCTCCTGACGTGTGCGGGGCGCGTGCTACTCACAAAAGTCATTCTCTCCATGATCCCAATTCACGTCTCCATCGCTACATGCCTATCGAATTGGGCGGTCAGGCAAATTGATAATCGTCGTCGGGCATTTCTATGGGTGGATACTGAGGTAACGACAGTCCCATGGAGGACAGTCTGCAGCCCCTTGTTGCATTTCAGACTAAGCGTGATCGACCTGGGCTTGTTTGGATTCGCTCTCCACCTGCGCTGGGAATGGCTGAAGTGTGCCGAACCCGATCGTGGCTAGGTGCTGCTGCCATTCCTAGCTAGTCTTCACAAGCGCAAAATTCACTACCGTGTCATCGCAAACAAAAAAAAATGATACTATCGCCACTTTTGTTGCATGTATGGTGCCCTCATCTCTTCTACGGTAGCGTCAATTAGGGAACAAAATATGAAAGGAGGAACAAATAAGGAAGATTTGAAGTTTCGCTGTCAAGTGAGGAAGGATAATTTATTTTGGAGTTAGATACGGAAATTTCCAATAGAGAAAAGAACCACTTGCCGTCCTGGTCAATCTAAAGAAAATGTACTCCCTCTATTTTAAATTTTTTTGAGGAAACAGGAGGGGTAGCCCCCTACTGGTTAATATATATTAATTAATTGCAGAAAAAGATGTGTCCAAGCAACAAAATTCAAGAAACGAAAAAGGACAGAAAGAATATTAAGAAGATCACAATTGGTGCTCTAGCCATTGTTATATAAGAGGGAAATATTTTTTCTTCGCTCTATGGGTAACCAGAGAGAACTCTTTTTTGAAAATTGCCCTGCAATTTTGTATAGATGGCTGAATTCCTTGGAATATATGGTCATTCCTTGAGACCCAAATGCTCCAGCTCATTAGTATGATGATTTCCATGTAGAAGTTGACTCCCAACTGGTGCTGGAAGTGTTCCAGAGTAATAAAGAGTTCATCATCGGTGTCAATGCTAAGATTAAGACTGAACCAGCAAGCTTGCGCGAAGTCACACTTGAAGAATAGGTGTTCCAGGGTTTCCTCCGTAGGTTGGGTGCGTAAGAAACAATCATAAGAGGGGAGATCCATGTTCTTCCCTCTATTTTAAATTGTAAGTCGTTTTAGCTAAATACATGATTTTTACTATGCATCTAGATATAATGTAGCGGGTAGCAAAAGCTATATACCTAGATAAGTCAAAACAACTTAATATTTGAAATGGAGGGAGTATAGAAAAACATATTCAAATCTGCGTACTACTCAGCCACCAATCCGAAAAATCTTTGGACCATCTATGACAGGGAAGGAAATCACTAACCTGAGAAACCATCTCTTGCTGAGAAGACTGTATAAAATATTTGCTCTCTTAAAATAGAAGCCATTTATAGAAAAATCTCTAATCCAAAACTAGTAAAGAGCAATTAGGAGTACTCAAGAGAATTAGACTAGGCAGTACTATTGGACCAGATTCTTATCTATGGCAAGAATTAGAGGGTCTTAAAGAGTCAAAACTAGGTCATGAGAGAGCAACGGCCAGTCATACTCTTTTAGAGTTGTACTTACAAATTTTTTTTGTCACGTCCGCTAAAATCCTAACCTCTTGTCGTGATTGTTTCAACATTATATTGTCATTTATGGTTTTCTACAAGACTCGCCTATGTCTCTTGATACAGTGCAAGTTTGTGTGATACTTGCAATATCTTTTTTAAAGATGCGATGATTGCTGAGTATAACCAGGGGTATGAAATTCTAATAATAAGTATGAGCCCTTGTATTTTTACAAAGCATGCTTGCCAAAAATATTTCTCTGGACAAAAATTGTCTAAAGCCGATGTTCATTTTTTGCCCCAAGGGCAATAAAATTCTCATAGGTCATGAAACTGGATCAAAATCGAAGCGTCGTAGAAACAATTTGTTTTGGCCCCTGCACCTGCTTGGTGGATGTAGATTTTGCTACAATCATAGCCACTCTTTTCTCCATTGTTCCTTTCGTGTGCATTCAATGTACTCTTGTCTCACTATAACACATGTTGTCTTATGTGACAAGTTTGTTTACTACTTTTCTCTCCAATATTTCCACATATATGTGGTACTTCTATGACAATACCTGTTTTAACGAAATGGATGTGATTTTTTCTCAGGATTCCCCAGTTTTCTAGTCCACCAGTATGCTTCTCTTGTCCAGGTAATTCTGTTGCACTGCGCATAAGTTTTTTTTTCAAGATATTCATTCCTCTTATGAAAAGTTAGATCTATGTCAATGCGTCAATTGTTGTTTAAACATACGCCATTGCTTTTAAAATTCAGACTTACTAGTAGATATGCACCTGTCCACGTATGTGTTTAAACAATTCTTCATAATAGAGTTAAAAAAAAGTTGACCTGTGGGGGTAATACAATCCCAGGTATTTTATTTCAGAAGAAGACCATCTCATGCAGGCCGAGAAAATGTCCGAACCCTGTCTTACTCATACACAACGACACCTTAGTCCTTGTGATAAGGACGCGACCTGGGCATAGTCTTAGACCAATGCTTTGGCGTGAGACAGCCGAAGAGTTTTTTTTTAACTCCAGCCTGAAATTCGCTCCTACGGGGAGTCAAGCCTAGGACATGAGGAGTGCTAGTAGAGTCACCTAAGAGCATCTCCAACAGGGACCCTAAACAGGTCTCTACTTTACTTTTTGGTGGCAGAGTAAAAAACAGAATCCAATGTAGCCCTAACTCGGGTCCCTACTTTGTGGTGGTTCTAAAATCCCCCCTCTCAGCCCCATCTCTCAGGAGGTATAGGGATATCTCTACTTCTTCCTAGGAAAAAACTTCTCCACCAGCTCACTGTCATGCATCTTTTTATTTTTATCATGAATCTTCTTGCGTCGCCGCCATATTCCCGTCTCGACACGGCTCTCGACGAACCCCTTGGCCTAGCCTGACTCCCCTCTTGGCACCCATCCGCCAACGAGGTCCAATGCGGCTCCTCTGCCGTCTCCGGTGCCCGTCTCAGTGCGCCTCCCCTTTTTGCACCCGTCTCGTCCCCCGACAAGGTTGTTGTCTCCGGTGCTCCTCGCCCCACGCCCCATAGCTCAGTCAATTGGAATGATGATGGTGCTCCACTCCACATAGCTTAGTCGATTAGAACGATAGTGGATATGGCCGAATGACTAGTGGTCCTATATGCCAGTGTCTATTAGAATGGATTTGAGGCTCATGTTGGAGTGGATGCAAAAAAAAAAACACCCATAAAAGTAACGAGGGCCCTCAAATTAAAAGTAAGGGCCTGATTTAAGGGCTCCTGTTGGAGTTGTTCTAACACAAACTTAGCTAAAGGCCCGTTCGCTCTTCATTATAGAGTTGTGAATTCAAAATTTCAAAATCAAATTTATTTATTTTTGTTTTTTCTAGAGAGGTTGGGAATATCTAGTTCAAATATCATATATATACATTAGCAAGGATGCTAAATCCATATATTCAGGAATCTTTGTCTCGGTCTTTGTACTTTGTTCATAACATTTAATACGTATGTTTTAAACAAAGAAATGCATGATTTATCGCAAGCTTGTTGCGAAAATGATTTTTCGCAATATTACCGCCTGAACATTAGATAAGGCAATGAAAAAATCAAAATAAATCAGAGAGTTGTTTATTGATTTAGGATTTAGGATATATGTCAAAATTTAAAGTGTACTAATTATCATCCTAGAATTGCCATTAATTAGTTGAGCCTGGACATCTCCATTAAGTTACAGGAGCACGAAAATACTTCAAAATTAACAAATATATAAAAACACCATCAGTACAAAGTACAAACACCAAGTTCCATCAAAAGTATAAAAACCTGGTGTGCAGGGTCTGTAATTGGGGGGGGGGGATAGGCGGATAGCAAAACAAATATCTGATCTATAAATGTGAGAGTTCCATTGCCGACTAGACATGGATCGTGGCTGTTCCAAACCATAAACCTCGCTCCTCACCAGGTGTGCAACAGGGGGCCAAAAGCTCTATCAGTGGTGATGTACCATTGTTTCCTCATCCTTCTTGATTCTCTTTGCTTCGTAGGATATGTCTGCAGTGTTATAGCTAATATGAGAATTTATCTAAGATACAGTCAATAGAATCACACTTCCATTGATTTGAAGATTGAAAAGAACTGATAAGAGTAGCTAATTGCCTTACATCCGGCACCGACCCCTGTTTCAATACGTGCTACAAGTGGTATATGAAATTTATAATTAGCTACTCTTAGCACTACATACCCTTTGTATATGGGTTATCCATCCTGAGAGTAACTGGACTTGAGAACGAACAATGAATTTGACAACCTAGAAGAACTAGGAAATTTAAGGTAATCCATTCACTCTTTCTTATCGTCTGTACTTCCTAAAATTACAAGTACAACAGGAAGGGTGATATCAGCAATCTATATTTATTTAGAAAAAATAGAATATGTGAATTTAATATTTCTAACAATGCCGATTGGGATAAACAAAGCAAGAGAAAAATACAAAATGCTAACAAGGTTCAGATCAAAGTAATATGATTATATTATATGAAGAATTGGGCATGGGAGGAAACAGAGCAATATACTCCATTCGTCCTAAAATATAAGGTATTCTAGAAAGTTTAGAACAAAATATGGGGTAATGCATTGACGCATGTAACCCTCCCTGAATTATAGAGACTTTGTGTTTACTATATTTTGAGCCTGGTTGTAGACACTAATGCTAGGTACACATGTGATAGAGACTTTGAGGGAGTTAATTCACCTAGAATTTCTCAAAAAAAAAAGAATGCCTTATAATTTGGGACAAATTTTGAATGCTTTAATACCTTTAGGACAGAGGGAGTATATATAATATAATCTATAAATTAAAAATCAAGTCCTAAGGCCACGTGAACAATAAATATTGTCAGTTCGTATTTAGAATCAGTGGAATGCGAACAAACATTTATCCCATGCGGTAGTTTCAGACACGTATTATTGAAGATAATTGAACTTGAACCACTTACCTTCGAGAGTAAGTGCCTTCTGAATTTCGATGGTTGGCTTCGGACGATTAATAGTACAACCATAGAAGTAAAGAATACTGGAGTACTTACTGTGAAAAACAAGTCAAATGTGTTACAGTTGTTTAATGGAGATAGAGAGATTGTGTAGGTTTTATAGTTGTTTCAACCAAATAGTTTATAGCTTTTTTCACAATACATAGCTCACAGCTGAACCAAATAGACCCTTAGTTCTTAGATCTATTTTTTCATAGGACATCCAATGGCTAAAAACAATAGGTAGGTAGCAATCAAATGCGTGCGGAATATTTATCCACTACCAAAATGGAGTTCTCCCGATCAAAAAAAAATGGTGGAGTTCTCCTAGTGCACTAAGTAGTAATAAGAACACTACCGCCAGCCGTAGCACATGGGAATCCTAGGCGTTTGATCGGGAAAAGCTCATACTAAATGTTGAATGCTAAATAATAGGAGAACCCCACATCACTAGGAGAAAATACAAATTCTGGTGATGATCCATTCTCTCGTTCTTTTTATAATATAGAATATAGATATAGAATAAATAGATAGAGATCGATAATATCACTATGTAAACCTTGTTCTGTTTATGCCACCGCCATACCATTTTTTTTTCCAAACTGGTTTGATTTATGCCACTTGAAGTGGTTTGGTTTACACTAGCGTAAATAAAACAAGTTTTGAATACTGGTGCGTCTAAATATTATTACAAAAGCCGTGATGGCAACTAACAATACCATAATTGACGTAGTTGTACAAATATAATTCTCCCATTTAAAGCATACTGGTGCCATACGTGAAGCAGTCATATAGAAAAGGCTAGGCCACAGAGAACGGCTCATCAGCGTGGTGGTGTTTATGTGTCTGGTACGTGCGCAGACACAGGACGTATGTCTTATGTAGCTTTCCAGAGAGATGAAGCCATGGGCGCATGGCTGATAATAGCTATCATGGCATCTTCTGTTACTAGTAATAAATAAAGTCAATAATAACCTCAACGGTTACTTAGTAATGAATACCACTTATCAGTTACAAACTGCAAAAAAGACACTTGCGCGCGTTGAGACCTTGCCTCGGCTCAACACGTATGTGCGTGTAGCATTCCATTTGCCATCCTCAACTTGTCAACACATGCACATATTTGCAACCTATTTAAGGAGGCATCCTCTTGTGCGTGTCCCATACATAATTAACATTAATTACACATAGCATTAATCATGGCCTTGATTTTTTTGATTTAATTGCTAAATAGAAATGGGCTAGGCCCAATTAAATCTAACTTATGTTACTCCCTTCCGTGCTTAATAACTAATAAATCAATTTTTGGAGTTATTCTAAGTCATTTAAAAATTTTGATTGAATTTTATAGGAAAAAGGCTAATATATGATACAATATTAGTATAGTTAGATACAACATGAAATATATTTTTGTATTATACTTTTTTGTTGTCATAGATGTTACGTTTTGTATAAAATTGGTTAAACTAACTTAAGACAAATTTAGATGAGTTGACTTATTCTAGTAGGAAGGGATTAGAAAAAAGTTAGTCCCATTGAGAGAATCACAGCTAGCCTATGTGATGGTCATTAATTGATATTTGAGTTGGATTGCCTGTACGCTGGAGAAACTCCAATGGAGTAAGGTTTTTTTGTATTGTAACATATATGGTTGTCTTTGTTTATAAATAATAACAACCCTTGTTCATCTACAGTCTCAATCCATGGAAAGATATAGGCACTTTAGATTCTTTTAGATCTTTCTTGTGCTGTTTTGTTTTTATTAATTTTAAAACATCATTTTTATGGCATCCTGAAGGGCGGGCCTGGTGCAAGCGGTAGAGTCTTACCGCCTGTGACCGGAAGGTCCCGGGTTCGAGTCGCGGTCTCCTCGCATTGCACAGGTGAGGGTAAGGCTTGCCACTGACACCCTTCCTCAGACCCCGCACAGAGCGGGAGCTCTCTGCACTGGGTACGCCCATTTTTATGGCATCCTAAATTTATATTCACAAGGCTAGAATGTTGTCGGGTGCACAATTTAAAAACTGGAATTTCAACAAATGAAATTGATTTAACATTTATTGCAGACTCTTTGCTTATTAGTATAGATTAACACACAAAATTTGTGCTTTTTTGCCCAACAGAACGAATGCTTTCCAAACTATGTTGTGTACACTTGGTTCTTTTTCACAGTTTTTATTTTTTAACTAAAGAACAACGTTGAATTGTGTACTTATTTTTCCAGAAACGCTGGATAGGCTTACCACAGCTAATGTAATCAGTGAAGTAAATGAGATACATGTTGCTCACGACAATGAACTCAAGGCTACAAGCGATCAAGTCTCACTGACGGACCAGGTACTTGACAATCCTATGATTATTCTTACATTTTAACAATATAAGGTGTATATGTTTGAACTAAATAAATATATTACTCCGTACCAAAATCGTTGATACTTTAGCTATGAAATATTCATAGCTAAGTGTCAATTATTTTGAGACAGGCAGTATTTGGAAGGTGGTAGAATAAAGACGTTGAATTGGTCACAGCACATATTATGAAATCTAGAAAAATAAACAGTATAAATGACCATGTTCAATTAAGAAATGTAAATCTTCCTTTGGTACCACTCGTAGCCGTCACTGACCATATAGAACGTGTTGGATAAATTAGGCATTTGTAGGATTATATTTCGAATGTAAATCATGATACAGGTAATATATGCATGATTTTAGTACAAATTAAACAAAGCATGCTATTCTCATAAATTAGCGTACATGCAAACAAATAGTACTCAAAGCAATAGCCATAATAGAATGGTTTAGAAAATTACACCCATGAGTAGGACCATTGCCGGGGGCCACAATGGTGACCAAGTAGCCGAATGTCTGCAGTTGATGTTGTTGTGGCTAGTGGATTGGAGGAGCCATGTTGTTAATGATGACATATGGGAGGACTGGTTGGAACAGTCGATGATGTGAAGACTACAGCACGAAACAAAGCTGGACTTGGCCAGAAGATAACCCATGGTGAAGAACGCGAGGAGTCGTCTGAAGCGCTTCCAAAAAAACTTATGTGTTGCTGACACCAATGATGGCAAACCGATAAAACTACAAGCGCACGTCTGTCAAAGTAGCTTTCACCTGGGAGTGCTCCAATATATCGATTTTCACGGCGAACATTAGTGTACTTTAACTAAGAAACAAAACAGTCCCATGATAGCAAGAGGGGTCATAGGTTCGGTAGAGAGGATCTTGATTGTTATTATAGACGATAAAGCAAGGATACACTTTAGTTGTTTACTTCACAATGTTGACCTTGATAGGATCAAGGAGTCGACTAAAGGGGGGTGAATAGTTGTTTTTAGACCCTGATAGGATCAAGAAGTCGACTAAAGGGGGGTGAATAGTTGTTTTTAAAACTTAATCGCGCCGGCTAACAAAAGCAAATGCGGAATTAAACTAGTTGGTCTGACCTTGACTACACCCCTCAATCTATGTTCACAAGCACCTTACAAAGATCCTTTAAGAAACTAATAAGGTGTCGAGCTAGAGAGCTCGCCTAAATAAATCTAGTTAGTAAGGTTACATAAACCTATGCAACTAGTCAACTAAGCACATCGGTAGCTCCTACACATACTAGTGAGCAAAGCTCAGAAAGCCTAAGTGACACTAGTACTACTTACTAGCTACACAAGCTCAACTAGACAGCTAAACAACGTAGCTACACAAGCTGAGCTTAGTGTCACCTTGTGACATCTAGCAATGTGGTGATGTTGGAGAGCTTGTAGAAGCATCACTCTCATAGCCCGAGCATGAATCATCATCATCATCAAGTGTGCTTGGAATGGAATCATTATTTGCATCACTTGAGCCATCACCATCAATCTTGTCAAGTGAACTTGTGATAGATCTTTCATCATCACTTAACCATGTGGTGGAGCAATCTTCCACAATCACGATGTTGTGGATGTGCTCAACATCCTCATGTGCCTTCTCCTTGAGATCGTCATCGTTGTTATCATCATCATCAATAGAGACCGTCCCATATTTTTCATTGAGATAAATCCAAATCTCATAGGCGGTTTTCATGTCCATGATCTCTCCAAAGATGCTATCTTCCATAGATCGATATATAATGTTAGTAGCTTGATTTTCGAGATCTAGGCATTTCTCTTGTGCTTGAGTTAGATTCTCTTCATCCAACACACGAGAAAAGTCTACATCTACGATCCACCAAATTTGAGCGCAAATGAACTTAAAATTATTAATCATCCATTTTTTCCACCGTGTAAAGTGTGTCATTAAAAATGTGTGGACACTCAACACCTAGCCTATAAGTCACCATCTTCTCGAGTCAGTGAAAACCACAAATGAGAGACCTCACTTGGATATCACTTGTAGGGTCGAGATGGCAGACTAGAGGGTGGTGAATAGTTATTTTTAAAATTAATCGCATCGGCTAATCGAAACAAATGCAGAATTAAAACTATCGGTTTAGCCAAGACTACACCTCTCTATCTATATTCTCATGCACCTTATAAAGATCCCAATTAAGCAATGTCACACAAACCTATGCTATTAGTACTTCAAGCGACCGATGAGCTCCTACACATACTAGTGAGCAAAGCGCACAAAGTCTAAGCCAACTATTAGTTCTCAATAGCATGGCTCCACAAGCCAAACTAGAGAGCTGAAATTACTTAGCTACACAAACTAAGCAATGTAACTAGCAAGGCTACACAAGCCAACTAGTTATGCAAGAGAGCAACTATTTTATTACTAAAGTAAACTAGCTTCACAAGAGCAACAACACAAGCACAATATACGAACAAGTAAATACAAACATGTGTTTGGAGATTGCAAACCAACGGGAAGATGATGACATGATGATTTTTATCCTGAGGTTTGGTGATTTGCCAACCACTTAATCCACGTTGAGACAAGCTTAAGGATGCTGCCGGTCCTCTTGCTAGTGGTGACCTACAAGTCATACTCTTTCACGTGGAGTGCTTACCACAAGCTCTAGCACTTGACATATGGCTGGACCACTTGATGCTTTTCACATCTCGCTCTACTAGAGTTGCTCTTTGCGTTTGCTGCGGGGCGAGCACGACACCCCTCACAAAGCCTTCTCCGGAGCCATGCAAAAGTTTCTTGCGTGCTTCGACGGAGACCACACCACCAAGTCATCTAGGAGGTGGCAGCATCCAAGAGTAACAAGCACCATCGGTTTGCAACTCGATCACCTAGTGCCAACACTTGCAATCTCTCAATGCAACGCACTAGAATCACTCACTTGCAATTAGATGCAATCACAATGTGCACATGTGAGTTAGAGGGCTTCCTAAGCACACCTACACAAGCCACAAAGGCCTGGGTGCTTAGCTACCAGCCAAAGCCATCGAAGGGAGGGTCCAATTTATAGACCCCAACCAGAGTGTGTCGTTTCTGCCCTCACTAGGCGCGCAGACCGACCGTCAGACCATGCTGTTAGGACCGTCAGACCGTCCGATGGTGGGTCCGACACCCCATTGGCTGCCACATGTAGTGACTGTTTGAAGGGAGCCGTTACTTCCCAACGGCTAGCTCGCACGCCACCTGATCACCAAGGTTTGGCAATCCTCAAACTATGTGTAGGACTCTTCTGCGCCAGCGTCCGACGCCCCCGCAAAACCATGCAGAGAGCTCCTGAGAGCTCCCAACACCGTTGGACCGAGTCTGACGCTGACCGTCGGACCAGTGGCCATGGTCCGACGCCTCTCCAAACGCCACCACAAACACACCACGTGTTCACCCTTTGGTGAACAGTGCTAGCAGCTAGTTCGACGCCTCTCTTGAGCTCGGTCTGACGCTCCTGCGCTGTTCTTTGTCGCCTAGGGTAAGCCGTCGGACCCAGCCGAACTAGTTGGACGCTCCTTACGGCTATGGTCCGACTTCCTACCAGCACGCACCCAAGAACTAGGTTTCCCATTGGACCCGACCACCAATGGTTCGACGCCCCTCCTAGCCAAGGTTCGATGACCCCAGAAGCACTTCCAAGCTTCAAAATTTCTCCTTTGCAAATGTGCCAACACCACCAAGTGTATACCACCTTGTGCAAGTGTGTTAGCTTTTCACAAACATATTTTCAAAGGATTTTTTTTTCACTCTTTTCACCATGCCACTCGATCCTAGCACGTATGCAAAGTTAGATCACTCGAGTGGCACTAGATGACCAATATGCAAAACAAGTTTGCACCTCTTGATAGTACGACCATCTATCCTAAATTCGGTTATGCACTTCTCTACACAACCTTTGACCAGTGAAATAAAATGCCCTACAAATTATACCATTGCTTTGCGCATTCCATTCTATATCCTCCAACGTTGATGCCACACAAGCACCAACCTTCATCACGAATGATATGATCCACTTCATATCATCATGTGACCTTATTGGTTCATCGATCACAACCTTGCTTGCTCTTTACCGTTGCCCTTGTTCATCAGCGCCAAGTCATTGCTCAAGCTTCTTCGCCACGTGCGGTCCGTCGCTCCAAAGCCTCTGACTTGCCCTTCACACTTGCAACCGGTCCACCAACACCAAGTCTTGTCTCGATCTTTTTTATCTAGTCACATGACTCCATATCATGTCTCATACAATGAGCTTCTTCATCACATGTGTGAGCATGGCAACAAATCCAAGCCATTTTCACCTCTATGGCATAGGTTGCTTACATTAGTGCACCTATGGACTAATTTCCTGTGTATCTCACATAAACACATATTAATCCACCTAGGTGGTCACACAATTACCAAAACCAAACAAGAAACTTTCAGGTGCTCAAAACCTTAAATGGCCGGCCACACCACTATTTGTAGAGGAGGGGGGAGGCCAAAGGAGACGTTGGGGGGCCTCACCCCGCAGCTCTACGCCTCTGGTGGTCCGACCGCTTGCCGCCCCAGCCCTAACGGCTACCTACCATAGCCAGTCCCACGTGTCAGCCTCCCATCTTGGTCATCCACCCAGGGAGCTGGCGGTCTCACTTGCTAGGTGGAGTCACCACCAACAACCCGGACACATCCGGCTTAAACACCGGACAAGTTCAGTGCGCTGCATGACTCAACAAGCGCCAAACCATGGCCTTTGGACCTCTTGTTTGTTGGGCCCCGTTTGGGGTATACCGAACGCAGCAGCGCGTGTGGCCCACGAACTTCAAACGACCTTCTCTCAAGCGCTCTAGCCCAACTAGCGGTCCGACCGCCAAATGAGAGGTCCAACCGCTTGGTCGGGTGGGCGAAAGTTACTTACCAAGACCGCAGTGCACTTCGGATGCTAGCACCATCTACACGGTGTCTGGTCGTTGGATGACCAA